TCAAACCATCAATTTAACATCCAAACCGAGCCTCCAATCAACATGACGGAAACCAAGATGGTGATAATGGCCGCACCCGCCTTATCCGCGGTGGTAATATCCGACTGAAACTTTGGCAACCTATCGTCATCATTTCCAGACCCCAACCCGGGATCCCCTTTACTTGTGCCGCCCGTCGAATTCTTGAACGGCGGCGCCACACGCTGCGCATTCAACACGCTGATAACATTCAGGGCCGTCATCTGCGGACCCACACCACCTACGCCATCAAAGCCCTGATTATACCAGCGCATCCCGCACTGGTGGTCGCCGCCGTTATGCTGCGATGGGCCCTCGCACGTTTGCGCGGCCGCGACAGCGGATTTCTGGAGGCGCGGCAGGATGGTGGGGGCGAATTCGGGGGCGACTTGCACGGTGATGCCGAGCCAGCGGGCGAGATAGGCTTTGAAGGATTCCTGGTCCGTGTCGCAGACTTTGTTTGCTTCGCAGATTTCAATCATGACGCCGCCCTTGTCCTCGGGGAAGAACATTTCGGATTTGTTGAGGAATTTGGAGAGGGCGGTTTTCCATTTTTCGGCGCCGTTGGTGTAGTTGTACATCTGGTTTCGTTGGGGTTAGTTTGGCTTTTTGTTGGGGAGAGGGGAGAGAGAGGAACAGGAGAACGTACGTATGCGGCGCCGGCTATCATGATGCCGTAGTTGTAGGTCCATGGAGTCTGGTCTGCTTTGCTGCAGGGAGGAGTTGTAGTCATGCTTGTGCCGTCGTAGACTTGGCCGTCGCCTGGCAAGATCGGGCTGTTTGACATCCAGTCGAAGGCTTTTTCCGCCCATACGGCATAAGTATCATTGCCTGTGTACATGGCTAGTCGTGCGCCGAGATGGAAAAGACCGCCGTTTGACGCAGTGTTCTTGTACGTCCAACCATTGAGCCATGGGTAAATCTGCCAGCGCATGCCACCACCGCAATTCCCGTCGGCAACCTCCTTCTGGTAACGACCCACGAACTGGTTGAAGACGGATTGAGTCATGGCGAGCCAGCCAGGCTGGTCGTCCGGGGGGTCCTTGAGCTTATACTCTGCTGCGGCCATCATGGAAAAGGCCCAAAACACTTGATCGTCGTTTCCCTCGTTCTTGGACTGGTTCGAAGGCATCTAAACATAGTGAGTGAATTGTTCCGCTGAAACTCGGTAGGAGATGCAATACCAGATCAAGATGATCTCCAAACTGGTGTATCAGACCTTCACGAATCATTTCATTGTACTGGTCATCCCCAGTATAATGCCAGTAGTCTAGCAATGTGCCAAACATGGCGCCTGCCTGCCACCAGTAATATGGTGGGTACAAGATACCTGGGTAGCCTCCAAGCACATGGATGCCTTTGTCGTCAATTGTCGCATATTGAGCGACAAGTTGTCTGGCGACCTTGCTGGAAACATCATTGATAGAATCTGTGACAACGACATCAACTCATGTAAATGTGTATGGGGTTGAGCGGACATAAGCCCTCACCTGGGGAGTTTGGGTCTAGAGTTAAAGCCTGAGTAAGTGGTCGCACGACGTCTGATGATAGCAGAGAGAGCGCCGCTAGCGCTCGCATAGGACTGAACAACCTCATGACCGCATGGAAGATGTCACTGGAGTAATGCTAACGAGTGGAGACCCAGGATGTCAGGTGTAGCCTGGTGGTAATATTACACTATGTTACTTCGGAAAAGAAACGAGCGAAAACAGGAACTGGCGAGGCAACTAGTCGGGTGACACGAGGGTAGAGGGAACGAGAGGGAAGAGGAAGATGTGAAAGAGGGACACCAGGAGTGAGAGACGGCGAGATGACGAAGAAAGAGTGGACGGGATCGACGGGGAAGCATCTGACAAGGAATACCAACATGCCATGTGCCCGATGGAGCAAAGTTGGAGCTATTTACGATGACGGCTGGTGTGCCACAGGGCTGGACACCTAATCCCGTATCCTGAGCGTCAGCAAATCACCTTGCGTGCGCCCGCTCTCAGCGGCCTCCCTTCCCACCTACGACAGGCAGGACAGGGCCCAAAGTGGAATACGCGAACCTAGCCGGGCCGCCACCATTATCAGCAACTCGGCTCCGGAAACTTACATGAGGGGAACCTGGCTAGGACCTCAAAGGGGAGTTCGCTTGCAAAAGTCTATTCGGCTAGGAAGGCTGTTTGGTTCCGGCATCCGAAAGAGATTTTAATGGGTAGTAGTCAGTCATGCTGGTCCCACGTTGAACATGGCTTGAAACAAAAGAGGGGACCACAACGTTGGGCGGTGCGGGGCGGTTGGCAGGGAACTGTGGCGCAGGGCCGCCTGTCTGCCTTGGGCTGGCCAAGGATTCATGCCTTGCTTTGTGTATAGTGCCTGTATTGACCTGTATATTGGTCACGTTACAGCGGAAACGAGACGGAAGATACATACAGAGGTATAGAGTAGAGCGTGACACTTGTGTAGCTACAGAACATGTCTGGTTGACATCTGCTTCGCCACAGATACAAGCGTTTTCCAAGCATGCTTGCGCCGTCTTGAAAGGGCCTGTCATCAGTCTTGACAAGCGCATGCCAAGTCGCACGGAAGCGGCGGACGTCAGGGTTTTTGTGGGGAGCGGAAATTGTGATCGAATCCGCTATGCAGCGACAGCACCACAGTTTTCGTACCACCACCATGAAAATCACCAGCAAAGACGCGAAGACCAGATGGAGCTGACGACGAAGTAGTGAATAACGCGCGTTCTCAAATTTCGCTTTTCTATCAATCTCCCTTTGTTTTTGTTGATTACATCCTGAACACGCCCCATGTGCTCTCCTTGTCGACGCGCTGATTCTGCCCACCGCATGCCATTTGCAATCCCATGCCGAGTACCCGCCGAGTGTGCTCCGGCGGTATGATTCCATCGTCCCATAGCCTGGCCGACCCAAACGTTGCTTCACTTTCGTGTTCGATTCGTGCCTTGAGCGCAGGATCCACCTTCTTGCCAACAGCCTCCATGACCGACGAAAGCTGCTCTGCGCCCATGACCGATGTCTTGGCATTCGGCCAGGTGAACATGAGCCGGGGCGAGTATGCTCGGCCACTGCAAGTAAAGCGTTAGTATTAAACAGACGCCAAAAGTCTAAATCGGATGACACTTACCACATGCCGTAATTTCCAGCTCCAGCACTAGATCCCACCACTACCGTGAACTTGGGAACGTCAACACAGCTTACAGCTGTCACAAGCTTGGCTCCGTTCTTCGCAATGCCACCCTTTTCGGCATCCTGTCCGACCATGAAGCCAGAGATGTTTTGCAGGAAAATGAGTGGGATATGACGCTTGCCGCATAGCTGAACAAAATGTGCACCCTTGAGTGAGCTTTCGCTGAAGAGAATACCATTGTTGGCGACAATGCCGACTGGGTGTCCGTAAATCTTTGCGAAACCAGTTACCAGCGTTGACCCGTACAGAGGCTTGAACTCGTCAAACGACGATCCATCGACGATGCGTGCAATCACCTCGTGGATGGGTATCTGTCGGCGCAGGTTGGTACCTACAATGCCAGACAGCTCCTGAGGGTCATACAACGGCTCCTGATAGCTCGGCTGCGCAGTAACGGTCTGGTTGCGGTGCCAGTTGAGGTTACCAATGCTTCTTCGTGCCAGGACGAGCGCGTGCGCGTCGTCAACTGCTAGGTAGTCCGTGACACCGGAAACCTCGCTGTGGAGCTTACCTCCGCCGAGATCCTCAGCTGAGACGACTTCGCCCGTGGCTGCCTTGACGAGAGGTGGTCCCGCAAGGAAGATGTGACCTTGGTTCTCTACGATAATGTTCTCATCACTCATGCTAGGCACATAGGCGCCACCTGCTGTGCATGGTCCCATTACCACACTGATTTGCGGGATTCCCATGCTTGACATGCGCGCCTGGTTGTAGAAGATGCGACCAAAGTGATTCACGTCGGGGAAAACATCGGCTTGGTTGGGAAGATTGGCGCCTCCAGAATCCACCAAGTAGATGCACGGTAAGCGGTTCTCTTGCGCAATTGTCTGCGCTCGCAGGTGCTTCTTCACGGTAATGGGGTAGTATGTGCCTCCTTTGACTGTGGCGTCGTTTGCAACCACCATGCATTGAACGCCGTTGACGCTGCCAATGCCCGTAACAATGCCACCTGCAGGCACGTCATCTTCGCCGTACATGTCATAGCCTGCCATTTGGCTCAACTCGAGAAAAGGCGTGCCGGGGTCGATCAGGGCAGATATTCTGTCCCGAACCAGCATCTTGCCTCGTTGTATGTGCTTGTCCCTCGCCTTCTGCGGGCCGCCCTGCGCGATCTTGGTGTGAAGATTGACGAGCTTCTCAGTTGCTTCGTCCATTTGGCGCTTGTTCTCCTTAAAGTCGGCATTGCTCGTGTCGACGTTTGTGGGGATGACGGAGACGGCCTCGGCATGGTGTGAATGTGTAAAGGTAGCGGCATTGCGCGTGCCTTGATGCAAGTGCCCAGCTCGTGATTGCGATAGTGTTGTAGGGCGAGAGGGGGATGAGAGGAGACAGCGCTGTGCTTGCGATCGGATGGCTGCGGCTGGTCGAATTGTGTTCTTGAGAAGGGCCAAAGCCTCACGAGAAGGTGCTTTGGGGACCATCATGGGCTATGAAATTCCGTGCTCTGGGATTATGGATGAGTGGGCAATGTTTTGCACGACATGCAGATAAAAGGTGGCACCCCGCACAATGAGATAGAAGAAACAAATACTGGAACTTGGCCCGACTGACGGCCCATCCAAGGCCGCGATGGCTGTTTACCGAAGTGTGTCGAAGCTGGGGTTCCGATGACATCTCAAGACCGCTGTTAGCCGTACCGCGGCTCTGCGGGGAAGACACGCTAGTCGCAACAAGCAGGTCCTTTGAAATTATTCAAGTGCATCGCATTCGAACATTGAAAAATTATTTTCATTCAAGTGGTCTCGATCAGATAGAAAAATCAACAAACTTATGTAACTAATGACGGCACTTGCTTACAGCTTGCCGCCGTCCACAGCCATCTCAACCACTTGGTCCAAGCCTTCATATTTGGGTATATCAAGATTGTACTTCTCTGCCATCTCTGGGCTCAGAAACCTACCGCCAAGAAAATGACGACCAGAGAACTTCTTGATAAGCGGCTTGGGTGCTGTTAAGCTGATGAGTGCTGGCGGCATGAAGCCCTTGCCTGGTCCCGAGTCTCGAGGGCCCTCTTCAATGTCCCAAGATGACGGCGCATCAACCGATAGCACAGGAACAGAGGTAGATGCGAGTGCCTCGATAACCTTTGGAAAGGGTTCACGCACTTCTCCCGAAAAGCTGAATCCAAAGATGGCGTCGACAATGTGATCAGTTTGTTTCAGCGCGCCAGTGAAATCTTCGGTGAATGGCACTTTAAGGTCTTCCAATTGTTTCTTGAGCCGCTACGACGTGTGAGCATGTATGAGCCAGCATATCTTTTCGACCATCATCACTCACCTGGTAGAGCTCGTTTTTACTTTGTTTGGGGTAGTAAATGGTGGGTTGGTAACCGTAGTGAAATAGATGGCGAGCTGCGACGAGGCCATCGCCGCCGTTATTGCCAGGACCACATGCGACCAGGATGCGCTTGCCTTCGCTTAGAGGCTGTAATTTGAACACTGTTTTGATTAGTCCAACCATGAAAAGATATATCAGAGCTAAAGATACCAGCTTGCGATACCGAGAGTCCGGCAAGCTCCATCAGCTGATCAATAGAGAACGCGCCAGTCGACATGAGTTCTTGGTCGAGCGCTGCAGCGCTTTTGGCCGACAGAGTCTACTAGAGCGTTAGCCTCTATACAAAATATTACTGCGCCAAAGACTCACTCTGATTGCCATTGTGAGGTTTGTAGAGAACTCTGAGTGGAATGGGATGGGTGTGATGTTCAAGAGATTAATTGATGCATCGGGTAGGCCTGACATGGTGCTTGCAATTACATCACTGGTCTCAACTGCGCATCTGGTCAGAGCAGCCCACCGCACCCTCCTTTTGTGTGTGCAACTCGATGCAACGTAATTACGTGAACTCGTCGCAGTATGATAAAAACAAACAAAAGCATTAATCTTTAGATTTGCTCTGATCTATTGAAGAGAAAAACAACTTCCAAACGTAGAGCTCACTTGTTTACACTGCCTAGATACAGTACTAAGCCAAAAGTTTCGCAAAGCACTTTGAAACCCCGCCCCTACCAAAACTTACTCACCATGACTCTACCACCAATATCTCCACCAAAACTGCATATTTTTCAAAGCAGATAAATAGATATATTTCCTATATACTAGTACTTTGTTTGATAGCCTCGCGCGCGTCGGCAGGCTGCGAGGCGGCGCAGCATAGACGTGATTAGCTGAGTAATCAGCTCATTTGGTAGCCGACGCCAGCACTCTTTTAGAGCCTCGCAAAACCTATGCCACTCGTCTTGGGCTTGGCTGTAATTTCTATACTGTGGAAAGATTTCATGCACTTTACGCTTGAGGGCCCACCAGAGGTGTTTAATAGGATTTAAATCTGGTGAGTTGGCTGGCCAATCAAGTGTCTGAATCTGGTGATCAGCAAGAAACGTCCGGACGACTCTAGCTGTATGTATCCGCGCGTTGTCGTGCATGAAGATCTGATTCGGACGGTAGTAAGGGAGTAGGCCTCGACGAAGGGTTTGGATGTAACTTTGGCTGGAGTAACCGCAGTGGGGAGCATTAGGATCCTTTTCCATGATCACAAGTGGACTCCGACAAGGTCGGCCTCTTCTGTCTAGCCATATAGCCCCCCACACCATCTGCTGTGGTCCCTGTGAAGGACAAACCTCGCTGATCATCTCCTTGTTCCATTTCTCATGTGGATATCGGAAGCACCACTCCTGTTCGGCGCTAGAATCCTTCTGAATAGAGCACTCGTCTGAGAAAATAACCGTGCGGCGATGCCAAGGAAACAGTCGGTGGTTACATGCAAACTTATAGCGCTTGTAAGCATGAAGACAGGTTAGTTTTGGACGGCCTTTGCAGCGATATTTGCGTAGGCCAAAGCCTTTGAGAACCCGGTATAATGTACGTCGACTAGGTGGCTTTGAAGTTGTCCCGTCGGCATGCACAAAGACAGCCTCTTTGATCAGGTTTTTGTATATAATCTTGGGCGATCGGCGTGCAATACGTCTGATAATCTTCTTCTGATAGTCCGAAAGTATCGTTGGACGGCCAGATCGAGGCCTATCACGAGTAGTATTAGTGGTGGAGAACTTTTCATAAAGTCGGTGGATAGTCGACGGCGCGCGTCCAAACTTAGCTGCGACTTCTGACAGCGTTGCACCCGCCTGCAGCATGCCAATAGCGGCGTTTCGCTCGTCTAATGTCATATTTGGACCGCGCGCCATCGATTTCTCCACTCAGCGATTGAATTAGTGTAGTGGTGGGGTGGTGGTGGGTGTTCAAAGTAGTGGTGGAGGTGGTGGTTGGTGGGGTAGCTAGCGCCAGCGTTGCGAAACTTTTGTCGCGTAGCTGTATATGGTATGGTAAGAGGGGTTCAGGGTACTCTATAAGAATCCAGCACTCTAACAACATTCAGGTAAAATAGTTCCTGAATGTTTCGAGAATCTTTAGAGATGAGGCCTTTTGTGAGACAGAGTCTCGTCGCATCCCGATACCCCTTGCCCATTCTTGAGGCCAATTTGGGCACCTCACAATCCACAATGTAATCTTGAAATTCCACAGCAGAGTGACCCTTAAATCCAGCAACTTGAGATGCTCTTTGCTGTACACTCTTGATGCATTCCCTTAATCCGAGCTCCAAAAGGAGAATCCCCAAGCTGTATTGATCATGAGTATAATCAAATGGTATTTTGCTCGTACTGGAAGTTGATGTTGCTGTCTGCACCACGGCTGGCAAACCTTGCACGTCTGGATGGCGATAGAGATTGTATTCAAAATCATCCGTGACGCCTTCTGTTTGGTGGGAAGCAGATGCTTCCCTACTATATTCGAATCCTACAACAAAAGGTTTGTCGTAAGAAAAGCCACCGTTGCTCTCAGCGAAAAAGAGTATGTTGTCGCTACGGATACCCTTGTGAAGCCAACCAGCAAGATGCATGTACAACAAAGCTCGTGAAATGCTCCCAGCAATGCGATACCAATCTCCTGCGTCAAGGTCATGTCCGGTCCCTTCGAGGATTTGCGCTAAACATTGATGGTTTGTTCCAGGGACATTGAACACAAGGCCGTGCTCCAACTTCTCATCAACCAGATGTCTTGTAACTACACCGATACAGGACAGTGTACGTAGCTCTGTAGGCTTATACTCAGCCTTGAGAAGCCTTGCCAAGTTCTCGATTCGGTATTGCAGCATCGTTTTGTACATTCCCCTCGAGTTATTTGGTGGGCATTTTGCAGGATCCACGAGCTTCCATTCTACTAGCACGCCTAGTGTAGTGCCATTCTTGGTTAAGAAGCCGTAGCTCCGACCAGACTTGTCCTCTCTTGTACCGGTCTCTTTCAGAAACCGTTCCTTCTCCTTTACATTCTCACTGCCAAGAACCGTCTTTCGGGCATCCATTTCTATGATTGCAGACTTGAGGAGGGCCAGCCCCCGCAGTTCCGAGTTCTCATCCGACTGTGAGCTCAATGTTTGCAGCTTTGCTAGACTCATCGTGGCCAAAAGACTATTCAATGCTAGTTTTGCTGCAGGGTCAACTTTCGGGGGCGTGAAAAAGTCGAGCAATTCATCAACCAAGCTCTTCAACTGGTGAAGAGCTTTTAATGGCCCACCGTCATTCAGCGCCCATTTCATTTTTTCTTTCAGCCCAGCAGCACTCTGTATGCTTCTTAGTTTTTCTTCGAGATGTGTTCGCTCCGTCGAGCTCGGATTGGCCATGTCAAGCAGTTTCGTGATGGATGAGGCGGCGGATATCGATGTGTTGCTGGCCGCAGAGATTGCAGGGAAATCTTGCCCCAGCTTACCGAGCTCATCCAGGAAATGATAGATGAGAACGACATATTTCACAGCAACATCCCCGTGCTCCTGAAAACGCCTGTCTTTGAGATGCATGGAATCAGCGCCACGGTCCAGCCCCCATTCAACGCCCCATGTCTTCAACTTTGCAGCTTGCATTTCTAGTCTTGCTTGGAATATTTCAGCATCATCGGCGAGCTCGTCTCCTTTTCTCCATAATTCGAAGCTTTTAACGCAACCCTGGAAGACTTGAACAAAAAAGCCAGCTCCACCAACTACGCCACTGCCAACGGCCAATCCGTCCGGAGGAGCCATATCGTTATGGAATTTGAGGGGCGAGCTGTGGTGGTTGATATGTAATGAGTGGGAATGAGGAAAGAGCTCTGGGCCTTTGGTGTTGGTGTTGTACTGCGAGTGACACATCACGCGCCTGCACAGCCCTCTTGTGGCTGTATAGCCATGTAGTCACCCAATCAACCGAATGCATTTGTCGCCTTCAGAAAGCTGGCACGCCACGAGTTTCAGCTTCAGCTCAGGCAGCAATTCCAACACTCAATCTACACAAGACTATCATGAACGGATCTTCCAGCTCATCAACAATCCAAACGTCGTGCATCTCCAGCCCTTCACAATGGCAGCTGAAAATGCAGCAACAAACGTCGGTTTCCACCAGCGTGACCACGATATCCTATCACTGCTTTCTATATTCACTCGCTCTTATCGGACATTAACGGTGGGGCTTTTACTGGTCGGAGTCCTCATTCACGACCAGAGTTTTGAACTCCCGCCTCCAATCAATCAAGGTGCATATTTCGAAGTATACAGCATTCCTTTCCGGTCTTTAACAAGATCATACTTTTCCCTCAGCGCTTCAGAGGTGCCTGGAGGGGCCCTTCCAGAGCTTGTCGCTGTCAAATGTCCGAAGATAATGGGTGAGCTGCGCGATAAGCGAAACCAGAAACTGTGGAGTTCCATGGCGATGGAGTTGCAGATACTGCGACACCAACATATCCAAGAACATGAAAATATCGTTTCCGTTCTGGGAGTCTGTTGGCGATCAATAAGAGACCAGATCATGCCGGCTTTTGTTATGGAGCTGGCCCATACAAATCTCGAAGCGATGATGCAGTCCGAAGGCTTCACGATCGACAAGATGAGTACCCGCAAAGCCTTTGGACTTGCCATCGATGTCTGCGCCGGCGTATCCGCACTCCACGAAGTTGGCATCATACACGGCGACATCAAGCCTGCCAACGTCCTGATATTCAAACATCCAGAACTCAAATTCGTCGCCAAAATCTCCGATTTCGGCTCATCATTGCTGAAAACAGATATCAAAGAGCCGATTCGTCTTCCATTCAGCAGTGGGATCTGGCAGGCCCCAGAGTGCAAAAAGGTTCTTGACGGTGAAAACCTCATCAGCGCAGATACATTCTCTCTTGCACTTCTAGTGTCATATATTCTCAGCAGAGGATACACTATGGCAATTTTTGAGGGTCATGGATCTGATGCGTCGTCTGAGCATCCTGGGCAGTCTGGGCCATCCGATTGGCATGAACTTTCTGAGCCATCTGAAGATGATATTCAAGGAATTTATGATAAATCGGCGCAATACACCTATCATACATTGAGCTGGTTTCTAAGGTCTGTCATCGAAGCCGAAGAGAGCAAACGCTATGGACTGGCTGCTACAAAACATCCAAATGGAATGACGGATGATCCTGGGGAACACGAAGAAGCTGAGGATGCCACTGATGAAACTTCTCATATCAAGCCCATTGCCCGGATTGCGCGTGCAGTAGGGGAGACCGTCACGCCTCATCTCTTCCAGCCTTCACTTAGACCAAGAAGTAACATCCTACACCTGAATCTACGAATATGTCTTAGCTGGATTCTCAGTAGAGATATGTTAAACCCCTTGAATTATTCTGACCCCGCAACAATGACGCATTTCATCCAAGCGACAGACCTAAACCCGCAGGAACGCGAGATATTAGGTAACCCAGGTAAGAGACATTCGATATGTATTGGTGCAAGTGCTCATCTGCACACCAAGCGATCCAACGTCCAACAGAAGATGATAAGGCACGCGCTTGGAGTTTCGCACAAACGGCCGAGTATCTCGACAGAAGCTTTTACGCCATAGCCCAGAAACAGAATCTCCCACAACTTGATGAAATAACACAACCCGAGTCGGCTCATAGAATCTCTGAGATACTCAAGACTTGGTAAGAATGCAAGTCTATCAGCGTCCTCAAAAGCTAAGAGTGATAGGAAAAAACATGAGCTTCCAAAGCCAGAAGAAATGTACTCGATACGTGATGCTGGTGCAGTTTTGGAGGTATGAGATAAATGAAAGATTTAATACCCTCCATATAACGTTCCAGCAGGCAGATACATCGCTTGGCACTCTAAAAATCCTCCCAACTCCAGTCCTGAACCAAATCGTTGTTGAAATGACGGCCGTCGCACACGATGAACGAGAAGACAAGCTACGTCGAGCAGAAGCTGCATGGCAGTGCTCTGTTCTTCAATTAAGACTCAGGAAGATGGAGAAAAGCAAACACGATGAACTCAACTCAATACTTCGACTAATGCTTCTTGCAGCTCGACTAGGACATACTGTAGCTGGTGGGATGGTTGGGTGGCTTTGCGCTGTATTCGAGCTAGACCTGTCGATTTCCCTAGAAGAAGAGAAGCAATGGCTTTATTCAGCAATCTGTATGGGCAACTCTACAGCACGAAGACGGTTGTCATCCCTCGATATAGAAGAATGCCAGCGGGCAGTCTCACATCTTCGTTCTCAATACGTTGGGATTGGGCTTGCAGCGCCCCGAAACTACTACGACTCAGACTGGGTGGACGATGATTCCTTCTTCAGGTTCATTGAAGATTCACCCAGCAGTCTTGGATCCATTTTCCAACTTGCCGCAACTGGGGGCCGCTACGAACTTGTCCACCGTATTGTCACCTCAAAAGCTCAAGATATGAACATAAATGAACTATTCAGGGGGAATGAAAGTGCTTTGCTAAAGGCATGTCGATCCGGATTTGCTGAGATCGCTCTTCTTCTGCTTGAAAATGGCGCTGATCCCACTTTGGCAAACGACGAGGGAGTTACTCCGTTACACTTCCTGAGCTCCTTTGATGAAGAACATATCCCAAAAATCACAGACGAACTGATTAAGACAGGAGCAGACCGAGAAGCCCGTTCGCACCAAGGGTGGCGATACAGGCAGGGCATTGACTCAACATATGGGGCCGTTGAAGGTACTCCATTGACCTGGGCTGTTGCTGCAGGTAATGAAACAGCCACTCAGGCACTCATGGACGTCGGGGCGGACCCTTTCGATTTGAATGGAAGAGAAATAGAGTATGATGACGCTTGGACCAACAACGTCCATGTTTTTCCTGTATGGCAGGCTTGCATCAACTGTCAATACCGACTACTCGAAATCTTACTCGAGGCTCCGAAAGACTACTCTGAGAACCTGAATTCAGTTTACCGCAAGTTTGGGAGTCAAGGTTTGAAGGAGCCATTCGCAATTCTGGGCTGGTTAGTCACTGATGGGAATTCCAGCACTTTCAATCGGATTCTTATTCATGGAAGTGATTATGAGCAGGCCTTCCAAAGGACCTTCGAAATTCTTATACGCCATGGAGCAAATCCGCTAGATATTAATGGCAAAGGACAATCCGTCATTGTGTCTGCTCTGGAACAAAGTCAACCGTACATATTGGACTACTTGATGACCTGGCAGGACGGGGAACTACAGCCAGACAGTTCACAATGGATACGCTGTCTTTGGACTGCTTGCTCTCTTCAAGACGAAGTGGCATTTCAGTCGCTTGTCTCCCGTTCGAAAGCAGACAAAATCTCTTCGCAGCAGTGGGATGGCTTTTTTGCCGGACTGCATGCCCTTCCTGAGGACACTGAATATCTCAAGCACCTTGACCATTACCGCAGGTCAGAAGCCAATTTCCACAATCATTTCGAGAGTGCGCTTTTTGCGGGAAAGTACACTCTGGCTCGTTGGATCTATGAAACGGGAAAATGCGACTTGACCAGAATGACCGATGGGAAGACGATTCTCGGCCGACTTATCGTGTCATCCAAGGCATACAGCAATTCTTCCCACCATATTGATTTTTTCTTAGACATGGTTGATACAGATACTGTGTACTACGGTGTATTTGAACTTGATGGCTCGAAAATGTCTGCATTACATGCAGCTGCTTTTATGGTGAAATACCGGCCCGGCTCGTCTCGCTCTACTTCGGCGCTCCAAAGTATTGTCAGACGCAAGTATGAGCCAGCATACTTGAACCTGATTATCTCCGAGGGCGGATACAAAGGCAACACCGCATTACATCTCGCCGTGCGAACGTGCAATGAGGACTCTGTACGTTATCTCCTGGACGAGGAGGGAGAAAGCCTGGACCTCTCAATACTAGACCATGAGGGCAACAGTCTCATAGATCTTACAAGCTTTCTCTTGAAGAACCAGGCCCCGCAAATGGAAGCCTGGGAGATGCCCGAAGAGGAGCGTAAGGAGGCTGACCTACGTCACTTTCAAAGCTCGATATTGATATTACATATGCTCTACTCCACAAGGCGTGCACGGCCTAGGAGAATTCTGGCATCTGTCACTAGAATCGAGGTCGATGTGCTCTTTGTCATTCTGTATGAGCAAGAAGAGTTTAAGATGATGAAGGTTCAATGCTCAGGTACAATCAACCCTTAAATGAAGCTTACTCCGGAAGCCCGCTTACACACTTCCAGTATTCAATGGCTTGTCACCCACGCAAATCATGCGTCTTGGTGCAATGTACTCAATTCAAGTGCGCTGGGACCTCACTCTGATATGGCCTCAGATTGTCGAGCGAGGTCCTGAACTCCCGCTCAACAGCTCTTTCTTCCTTTTCAGGGCCACGGAAATGTCTGAAGAGGAGTTTGACAGTGTTTCATCTAATGGGAACGTCATCTGTCGAGAGCAGTACCAGAGTAACCCAAGTGGCGAGCACTCGGATATGGTTCTGGCCATGCAGAATCTTATGTTAGAGATGATGGAACAATCCAGGAAACCAAGCTGAAAGCTCGGATGGATTTGATTGATTTCTATTTTTGGTGATATCTTAGCAATATTTCAATCGAGCTTTGGTCAACGTTGCCCGGTATTCACAATTGAGAGAATTTCAATAAATATGCAACAAATAACCCTTATGGAGAAACCACTTATCTCGCACGGAAATCAACACATTTCATTTTCCATAAAACACACAGCCAAAATCCCAAGGACATCTCTACAAATCTACACAACTCAACTCAAAAAACGCTAAGCCCAAATAGTCACAAACAAGTGGGGTCATGCACCACCGGCAGATCTTCGGGCTCCGCCCCAAAAAGATCCCCAAACCACCACCACTACATTCATCCCGCCAAACACCCGTCCGGTCGCAACAGCGTCCTCACACACATACACCACCAGAAACAATGGTATTAAGAATACGCCTCGCACGCTTCGGCAAGAAGCACGCACCCTTCTACAACATTGTCGTCGCGCACGCCCGGTACGCCCATTTCGCAATCCACCCACGTACCTCTACAAGTCCAATTGCTTCTCCCACAGCCACATATCTCCTTCTTCGAACCTCCCAAAACACCTCAAATATGCGGGGAAAAAATGGGTCAAATATCTATTTACAAATGCTAACCCACAATCAATAGCACAGCACGCAACTCGCGCCCCCTCGAAGTCCTAGGGACCTACGACCCCAAACCCCAACCGCCCCGCCCCGGCGACACGTACGGTCGACCCTGGAAAGACATCAAGCTAGATATAGCGCGAGCGCGGTACTGGGTCGGTGTAGGCGCGCAGCCAAGCGACACGGCGTGGAGGATACTGAGCATGGTGGGCATTCTGGAGCCGCAATACCGAGTCGGACAGGTGCAAGGGCAGGTTGTTAAGGCGGATTCGGCGTTTAAGAGTTTGGTGCCTGAGAAAGAAGGCTGAGGCGTAGGGGGGGTAGGAGGAATTGCCTGAAGGGGAGGGGAGGGGAGGGGGAAGGGGGTGTGGTATGATATTATATGTTATGTGGGAAAGGAACATTACGAAGGGCGTTTATTCGAGGAAATTTTCGATTACTAGGATTGAAGAAGGAAGAGAGAGAGAGAGAGGGAGACAGAGCGACATTATTCTATTGCGGGAAAAGAGCGAATAGAAGTGTACATTTGTAAGAATACAAGCAGAAAAAAAACATACTCACCAAGATAGATCCGCGTGCGCGCGGCCTAACGTTCAGAAAAAAAAACCAAACACAGTCTACTATGCTCGCAGAACAACTCCTTCCCCCTTCCCCAGAAAAAGGAAAAAAACTCCCGCTAAATGCAAAAAAAAACAAATGCCTAACATCCTCACGGCGGGCTCTCTCAATGCGCAGCCGCGACTAAAAAGGTATTCGTAATCAGACAAGTCACCATAACAATGACACCGTAAATACTCAGTGCAAGCGCCATCTTCCTCAATAATCCCCTTCTAAGATCACGATTCATATGCCCCTCACGCGTGACATAGCCTTCAACCTCGCCACTCTGGAACTCATCCTCGTCATCCTCGTCCTTGATGAGGCGCTGGTGGTGAGTAGACTCTGGATCCGAAATCTTGTAGTAAAACAGCCCTGGAAGAATAAAGGAAATGGTCGTTGAACCCGTGGACCCGACGTACGCCAGTACCTTTTCCAGGCTGGTGACGGTCATGGCGGTGATGAAAGACAGGACAATGAGAACGGTGGAGATGATTGCGAAGCGGAGGTCGCTCATTTCGGCGCTCTTGGGGGCGCCAGGCTTGGGCGCGTTGTTCATGAGGCTGGCACGTGACGGACTGCCTTCGACCTGTTTGCGCGCACCGCTGGGACGCCACTTGAGGCAGGCGTCGATGCTAGCGCGGCAAGGGTGGATTTGTAAGGGGTACGAGAACATGACTAGAATGACAATGGCAAGTCGACCGATGGTGCTAGCGGCCGCGGTAGGGTACATGGATACGATGTTGCCGTGGATCTTGTCGCCGTAGGAAAGGTAGCCGGTGATGCCAGTCAAAATGTATAAACCGCATGCGCCGCCGATGGAAGCAAAGATGACGGTTGTTGTCCGAAAGTGAGAGTTGTCGGCAATTTCGTTGAGAATCGAAAACATGTTCTGGTGGCATGTGTATGCAAAGACGATGACAGGGAACGCAGCGAGGGCAGGCACGGTACCGGCCCATTGAAACACGCGGACTTCTCCTCGGTCTGCGATGGTATCCCCTTTAATGTAGTGTGCGACAACCAGAATTACAAGGTATGCAATAGAGAAAAGGGCAATTATGCTCGTGTACTTGAGCGAATCCAAACGGCGAAGGAAGGACAAGGGAATAACGACAAGCCTGGGACTGTTAGCTCACGGACCTGTGGTACATTTGCATGATGCTTACATGAACGCAGTGATCCAAAACTGTCTATCGACCAAGAACGCCATGTGTGCAGCGCCTGGCGCAAAGCCTCTGACCACTCCCGGCATCAAATCTCCAATGATGATCAGGTAACTGACTGCCACACCAAAGCACTTGATCGCGATCGCGGCATCGAATAAGATGGAGAGGTTCGGGTAGGTCATCTGGGACAGGGTCGCAAATGACACATGGCCGCGATCAATATACCGCGCGCATCGAGTCTGGAGGTATAAACCAAAACCCGCGGTTGTGCCAGCCCACGCGATCACGAATATGCCGAGGAAGATGCCCATTTTGGAGAGGGCCGATGGCATGGCGAGAAGACCAGCGCCAAGGACTAGGCTTGTTAGTACTTGTGACAACGGGTATCCACGGGTCAGAACATACTGGTGTTGGCCAGGTTGATCACACTCGAGATCCACGTCGCCTCTCCCTTGAACCCAGCATCGTGCTTGCCTCTGCCTCGCCTGCTATTGTCAGCTTGTGTTGAACAGGCTCCAGAGATGTGCTTCTGACCTTCTTCCTCTTAGCGACCCGATACTTGAAGACATGGGGTCTTCGTCTGCTGGCTCGGGGCTGATCGCGGAGTAGGTAGCCATGCTCTCCTGGAGGGTGTAGAGTGTACGGTAGTTGTTATTGCGAGCGCATACGGTTGAGGCCAAAAAGCAATACTGTCGATGTGTGAAGAAACGGTCGCCAAAGTGTTGCGATAAGATAAGAGAGGCTGTGCCTGGGGGGGCGACAGGTGAGGTTGAAAGGGCTCTGCTGACGTTTGACGTTAGGCACAAGGCAAACGCGTTCGGAGAGGTCTCGGAGGCAGATAAGCAGATAGCCGCCCGCTAAAACCCAGGCTCCGTTCCGCCCGCGTTCACTAGCTGCGTAGGAACGCGATCTGCATCTGCAGACAAGACATATCTAGCAATTCACCACAGCCATGGACGAATACGAGGAGGCAGTTCTTTTCACGTTTTCGCTACTTGAATCACGGCTGGATCGCCTAGAATATGTTCTTGGAGGCCCTCAGGAAGTGGCCAAGGACAAGCCAAGGACAATAGCGGATAGAATACACAGGATTGAGCAGTCGTTGCAGCAGCTAGCGGGCAAGACAGCACTGCTGGACGAAGCCAATAGTCTACGTATGCAAAGTCAATAGGTGAGCCGCTTCTTAGAGCTGACGAGACAAGTAAGCAAACACAAAGACGTGCTCAAGCCTCAGGTCGACGACGAGGACGAGGACGAGGACGACTACGAAGACGAGGACAACGCTCCCCTTGATACTGCTCATAAGACGGCATTGGTCGTAGAACGCGCGACTAGCTTTGCGACAACTGCATCACAGCTCAAAGCACTCGAAGATCAGCACATACCCACGACGGATGGTTTCACCAAGCTTGCAGCGCTGCGACCGCGGATTGCCGAGGCAGAGGAGCGTCAGCTTCAGCAGGCACTCAAGATGTCAGAGTTGAGGCGGAGGAACGGGCTCATCAACCAGAGGTACAGGCAGGTCATGGTGCTGGGAACAGGCAGGTGTTGGGTGGACTACAACGAGAGGCTCACGCAGGCACTGCGAGCATTAGTCAGGGAGGAATACAGACGGCGGCCCGAGGACGAAAAGGACAATGGTGACGAGGGGGCGCATAAGGAAGAAAAACTAGAGGAAGAAGAAGATGCCGAGGACGACGAGTTGTGAGAACTGTCAGCACTGTCGCAAGATTACGTTGGGCGACATGGAGCAGTGGGAAAAAAAGAAATTACCGGCGCGGGTGAGTCGAGAGGCAGGATGGACCCCTTGAACGGACGAAGAGGTGGATATTAGTTGTAAATGTGTAGACGCATGTTAGGTTGACGTGGCGCAGTCCTAGAGTACATAGTGTGCATGCATGCAGGAGTTTTTTTCTTCTTCTGCACCCTGTGGCAGATGGGGGTAATTAGGAATGAAGAAAAAGGCATGAGGTGGCTACAGTCGAGGCGAGTTGTCGTCATGAGGGAGGGGCATTGTTGAGGAAGCAGGCACATGGACATGCAACAGGGCGGATGGTGCCGGGACCGGATGTCAGGTAGGCAGATTTGAGTTTGGTCGACGAAATAGGATGGGAGTTGTGAGGCGTTGGCATGCAGGGGTAACGGTGCGTGTGGGTGATTGGACAGTGGGGGTAGCGAAGAAACATTGTGCCATGTCATCGAGGCAAATGGTCAAACATGACGATGCTTGATAAGCGCCTGGTAGGCGGCCATGATGTCGAGGTGATGTTGTGTAGGGCTGCGGAGAGAAGGATGCCGTAGGAAGGCGTTTCAGCGGCGTCTCGAATCATCTGGCGAGGCCCAAAGCGTCGTGGCGGCCTTGTGAGGGCTTAGCTAGAAGCAGCACGCACCAGGAACAAGACGTGTGTCTGTGCAGTGTGGCTTGTACCTGACGAAATTGATACTTGATTAAGACGAAGGACGAGATGACGAGGGCGGTGCTGACATGGCCACGTTGGCTTCACAGGGGACATGGTGCCGACGACGATTCTTTGCGTCTAGAGCGGGCCAGTTGCGGCAGATGGGCGCCCGATTGATGGGGATAATTCAAAGAGGCAGGGCGCTATGCCTAGGCGGGGGTGGCTGTTCGCTGCCCTGAAAGGCGTGGTTCGCGATGAGTTCGGGGGGATACTTGCTGCAGGGCTCTCGACGGTGTGCGCTCAGGAACCCCCCCTGACATTCTGGCTGTCATGGCCTTTGTGCCAGTCGGTTTCGCCCAGCCAGCAGAAGCAAAAACCAGGCGACGAGCGTCACAGCGGCAGGGCGGGCGGGCGGACGCGACGAGGGAGGCAGAGAGAGTGGACTGCAGCGTCTGTTGTGTGCTCTGCTGTCGGCGTCGCTGTCGTTTGATTATGCTCGTTGTCGGCGGCTCTCCGGGGGGTGTGGGCAGGGCTAATGCAGTCGACGCGCGTGTTCAGTCGAGCGTGTCCAGGCCGTCTGGCTGAGCTGGAGCGGTACCATTTTAATCTGCATACGAGTGGGACCCGCCGCAATCCCCGACCGACCCTGGGCGACCTGGCCGGCCAATGGCGCGCCCCAGCCTGCCCGACTTGAAACCGTCGCATCTCTGCCCTAAGCACCCGTTGCCAAAAGCCCTCGACGCCCTCTCCATTCATTGTCCTGTTTGCTTGCCTGTTAGCTGTGCTGCGCTGTACCCTCCCCTCTTTTTGCAGCCGCCGCCCTATCGCTGCTCAAGACACCACACACTCTCCCACACGCACACACACACACACACCACTATATCCATCCCTCCATCGGTACATCCGCACTACATACAATACCCCCCTCGCTGCGCCTCGCTGTCGTCGCTGGACCAGACCCTGACACCGCGCGCCCACACCCTCATTCATTCACTCGCCCCCATCCATCGCAACCACCACCAACAGTATATGCCCTCGTCCCACTCAGCCACATCCACCTCGTTCGCAAAAATGGAAAACGGAGGCTACGGCCAGAGGTCGTCGGGCTTCAGTTTCGGCCGCATTGTTGGCGACCCCTTCGCCCTCGCCACAATCTCCATTGGCATCGTGAGTCGCTCCTGCCCTTCCCCAGTCGCGCCTTCCCTCGCTAACCTCGTGCCACAGCTCGCCTGGATCATCTCTTTTGTCAGCTCCATAATATCGGCCATTCATGGCGGCTTTCCAAACTTCGCATGGTGGACTCTGGTCTTCATGTTCTTCTGCATTGTCGGCGTCACCGTCACAGTCGCCTCGGATGCTGAGCGGACTTACCATGTCGCCGTACGTTGTCTTGCGCTCAACATCCCCAGGGACGCCTTTGCTAATTCGCTCAGATTGTCGGTTTCCTTGCTGCTGGCCTCGTATTCACCACCTCGTCTGTCAACTCGCTCGTTTACTCGCCCGTTACCCCCTTCGAGGCTGCTGCCGCCGGCTATATTCTGCTCTCCATGATCGCGGTAAGGCATACACACCCTGCCAATTACTCACCACCACCACTGACATTGTCCAGATTGTCTGGATCTTCTACTACGGATCGCAACCACAAGCCAGCCACCGCGCCTTTGTCGACTCGTACGCCCTTAACAAGGAGCACCCAGGCTCTCGCTCGTCCCGACCAATTTCCAATGGCTACACGAACCGCCCTGAAACCCAGAGCGCCGCCCCCCAAATGTACACATCCGCCCAACTCAACGGCTTCGAGACCTCCTCTCCCGTGTCCGGCTACCCCGGAGGCCCCACTGGCGCAAACGCCCGCAACTCGTCCGCCCCACCCTTCGGCGGTATCCCCTCCCAGGCACAAAACGACGAGGCTCAGCAAGAAGCCACCATCGAGTACCCCTACCGCGCCAAGGCCATCTACAGCTACGAGGCCAACCCAGACGATGCCAACGAGATCAGCTTCCAGAAGCACGACATCCTCGAAGTATCCGACGTCAGCGGACGGTGGTGGCAGGCCAAGAAGCCAAATGGCGAGACCGGTATCGCGCCCAGCAACTACCTCATCTTGTTATAAAAGACTGGCTCTTTTGGCTTACGCCATTACGACCCGCCATGACCTTTTCCTTGCACTCCATTACCTTTCATGTGCGCACTCTGTCTCACACTTCTGCATCCCTTTCGCCGGCCGTTTGACTGCCTCGACCAGGCTCTTAATCGACGATCTGTATTGATTTCACGTGCTGAGCTTGCTTGTTAGCTGAGCAAGAGGAGGGCACCCTAGCAACCAGGCGTTTGTGGACTGGCCACCGCTACCCTTGTGCGTTTGGCGGCCACTCTTCTGCACGATACCCCAATTTCCTTGTCAGAATAATTTCAAATCTGTGTCCCCTTTCCCATTGCACACGTCTACTGTGTGCCTTTCCCTTTACTTCTTTACTTTATTCCATCTCGTCTTTTCTTTTTCGTACACATTACATTCCCCTTGTTATACTATCTTGGTTCGTTTTGCTGGGACTTTTGAAAACGCGTAGAGCAGCTGTGATTACCCAATGGCTGTTGGCCTGCCTGTTTTCTATTGGCGCATTAGGTATCTTATATTCTGCTGGTTTTCATTGCGTGAGAAGAGAGGAGAGCAGGTGAATGCACTCCACACACTGAGTTGCAGACACAAGTCGCACGTCAAGTCATGTTGGATCATTTTGTTTTGTACGTATCCATGTCCGGATGTTCCGAAGACGGCAAGAGAAGGGGACGAAAAGGTGGCGGCTTCCAGAGTCACGCATAAGCATGTTTTCTTTTGAGTCAAAATCAGATTGGTGTAACAATGAAGCAATCAAGGGCTGTTTATTTGCGACTGAATGCTTTTCGTTTTCTAGTTGCTTGTCCGTGTTTGTCATGCGTTTGGCGAGATGCAAGGAACTTGAGGGGCTTGTAATGGATTGAGTGTTCAGCATAAGTCCGAGCGTGAACGACAATCTCGCAGACGGGTAATTTTTGTAGTAGTTGTAATATTGTCCAAGTCTTTTAGTTGCGTACCCCACAACCGAGTGGAGATGACATGAAATAATCAAGCCGTCATCCAGGTTCTATCGTTCCCGCATCCTTATCTTATCGTCAACTCTTATCATCTCGATTGTGACTATACATTAGGCGTGCTATGGTTCTATAATGGTTCTATA